TTTGGCAGGCAGGGCTTAAAGCAACCCCTAGACAAAGGAATGCGGTTCCACCTACTTGAATGTGTCTCCAGTGTAAACAGAGCAAGGAGAGACAATGGAAGTACATGTACATAAAACGTGAAACAAAGCCACCGAACGAGCAAGTGGAGGGAGACAGCTACCTAACCACCACAAACCAGGGCGGAGCCTGCCAAAATTAACATGGTGGCAGCTCCCTGATGGCCACAGCAAGCTGAGCCCACCCCGGCTGCCTGACTCTGAAAACAAAAAGAAACACGGAGGCTACCAGCAGCCAGCGAAAGCAACTTTGGCAGCCTTCAGCTGCGGTGCCAACGAAGCCCAGCGCGTCGGGCTCTGTGCTGGAGCCTGGCGAAGGCCTGACCAGCCATGCTGGAAGAACGACTGTGGGGAGAAAACGACACTGAACCAACGGCTCGAGTTTATGAAGTCCAGTTTTTGGCTTTGCCACGTATTTCTCCTTTTGTTTGAAAGCATTTCGCTCCCCACTCTTTCTGCCTGGGATCCCTTAAACAGCTATTGTGAATACACTGAATCTTGTGCTATCGCACACCAATCTCAGAGCACTGTCAAACTGATGTGTAAACTCCCCAGCCAAACTCACAGGCTGGGGCCGTGCGCTGGCTCTTTAAAGGACCAGTGACCTCCATAAGGAGTTGAGAGTGCTACCGTGAGGCGGGCTGAGTACGTTGAGGAGCTGATTTTGGGGAGACTCAGGACTGGGAGGTGCTGGGGCCAGGGCGAGGTCATGGCGTCATGAGCAGGCTTCTGGGGCCAGGGCACTGAGCCAACCCCGCACAGCACAGATGCACCCAGGGTTACAGGGCAGGTGGCGACAGACCCCCTTTCCTGCCTGGATGAACCCCCAAAGCGTCTCCCACAGGCAGAGCAGACAGAGCATGAGCGACTGTTGTTATTGTTCGACAAACACCTCAATGCCCTGGGGATGGGCGGTTTAAGGCCCTCACTTGGCTGCTAAACCCCATGCCCCGCACTCCAAAGGGGACCCTGGCGTGGCCCTTTCTCTTTGAGGGCCGACACCGTCAACGCTCGCTCGCATCCAGTGAAACATACACAGCCGCAAACTGGTTCTCTCTCCCTCTCAGGTATCTTGGAAATCCCCTGCCATGCAGCGGCCAGGCAGCATGGCCGGCACCAGCCCCAAAGCCCAAGACAGCAGTGGCCGTATTTAGGAACCGGACCACGCTTACCTGACCTTGGTCTTGGCTCATTCTTGCTTGGCGCGGAGATGCTGGCTCTGAAATGGGCAGCAATGTCTCTGTTCCCTGTGATGCTGATGTCTGGGGCCAGTGTTCTGGCTTTTGAATCTAGGTCCATGAATGGACACGAGAACGTGTGGAGTGGGCCCTATATATGTCTGACGTGGCCTCCGTCCTGCTCACATGCTACGGGCCTGATCCTGTGAGGTGCTGAGGTGGCTCTTGAGGGCACCCAGCATTTAACGCGCTCCCCAAGTGTTTGCAAAGTTAACCCAGTCAGCCTCCCGTCAGCACAGCCATGTTGAAAACACGTGTTTCTCTCCCCCTTATTCTTTCCAACATGTAGTTTAATAGCAATAATGAGTAGTCTAGCCTGGCTGTGTCACCACTGCCCTCTACTGCCTGGAATCAGAACTGATTGATTCTGTGTGTCCTATGCCCCATACTGCTACCAGTTCACAGTGCCGTGTCTTCAGTCTGCCTGCGAGGCGGGGCCTCTGCTGCTGGCTCTGACATGCTGTCACCACTATTGCTGTGATGTTGCTGGTGACCATAAGGTGCTGCAGGGTGACTGGTGAAGTCTAGGTTACACTTCATGCTGTTACTACACAAGCCGTGCAAGGGGCTGAGCGAATGTTATGCCAAGACTCCTCACCATTAGCTTTCTAAGCATTTGCATCCATAACCCTAACAGTCAACTTGGTTTTCTAATATGCCATTTTTTGGTCATGTTCTCTGTACTCTGTCATGTTGCCCCAGGCCAGTGGCTTCAAGCAACCCTACAATAACAAACCAGCATGTGCCGCTCTGTGTTGGTGAGCGATCAGCCACTCAAACCAGGGGCAGGGTGGGAGCGATCTTCGGCATGGCAAAATCCCAGCTTCAGGGGGGGTATTATTAACAGTGTGAAATTTACTAATGTGATTTAATTCCCTCGCTAACAGCCTTTCAGCATGTGGAGAAATGACAGGGTTCAGGCCTGCGTGTTCTCTCTTTGGCAGGCTGAGTCCTTCCTGCTCGTGTCCCCCCCGTCCCCAATCGCTCCTAACTAACCAACAAGGCAGCTTTATTTTCTCTCTCCTTTTGTTCCTTGCATAGTGACATAAGTCTCCCCATGACATGGGGCCATTCTTCATCCCCACAGGACATGATTGATCTTGGCCGATTACCATTTTCCATTTATCTGCACAGGAGTTAACCTCGTTTTCTTGGTAACCGCATTAGACATTTCATGAATCCTGACTTCTCGGGGAGTTTCTGGGAATGGGTGGGGAGCACAGGGAGGGATTAGATTCCAGGGGAAGGGGGCGGGGAGGAAGAGAGCTAATTGGCAGGAATTGACAACAGGATGAAAGGATCAGATTGGTGCCATGGCAGCTCTTCCCAGAAACCACCCCGCTGAGAAATCCTATGTTCACATTAGCTGCCTCCCAGCACCGCCCCTGCAGTTCTGGGCTAGGGGGACCACATGCCCACCCTGCCTCTGCCAGCCTTTCGCTCCCAGGTTAGAAGGCGGGCGACAGCCCAGAATGCAGGGTTCTTCCTGATGAGCGGTAACAATCCTGCGACGTTTTAAACCACATTCCATTGGCAACCGTTTAGTCCCTGCACTTTGGTGTTGCGGCCCCAGAGTGGGCGTGGACCCCCAGCACCGTTGGCACCAAACCCAGAGAACCGGGCGCTAGCCTGGTACTCCTGAGACCTGGGTGCGGCACCCTATTGGGCCACAGGTGCTGGGTACGTCGCTTAGGCTCACAAACACCTGCTGATTTCAATGGAACGGGGAAGCTGGCCTTAGCCTCCCTGTGCCTCATTCCCCAGCTATACCCCAGGGAGAAGAGCTGTGTTCTTACTCCAGGAATGTGCGGAGGATAAATGCGTTAGAGCACGCAAGGCACTCAGATATTACAGTAATGAGGCTACATAAATACCTTAGGTAGCCCTCTATAGCGTGAGCTAAAAGGAGCACGCTATCTGCTAGCACTAGTAGGCCATCACCCCTGCATGAGGTATCTACTGGAAAGGGGACACAGTGCACGTTACAAGTGTGATCTATTTGCAACCCACCCAAAAAATGACAGCTGGTTTGTGGTTAAAGTGCAATTCTGTCTCAAGCCAGCCTGGCCACCTGGGGATCAGGTCATTCATATGCATACAGAATTCCGAGCCCCTCCGGGGCCATGATCCAGGTTTATCACAAAATGTCGTGGCCTCAGGCTGGCGCATGAGTGCCGGAAAATGAGGCCGACTCGTCCACGTTTCAGTGTTTGCTTTTTGGCACCTCACTCAAAGGTCATATCTGAAACTTTTCAGTGGTGATAATAAAAGCGTTGAGAAAAGTCTGAGATGGCTCAGGAGAAAGGGACAGGTCTCACGGGAGATGCTGTCTAATCTCAGGTAGGTCAGGGATTGTATTTTCTCACGGGCGCCCAGCACTTAGCAGAACAGGGTCAGATCCGGTCGCCTGGTCACTCCTCCCGTACTAGAAATAAAAGGTCAGTGCTTGGGCTGGGCAAAACCTGGACCTTAACTTTCACAATGACACTGATTTTCTTACATACCGCCAGAGCTCTCCCCACGCCTGCTCCAGTTCTTCATTACTGGAGTCTGGAGGATCTGGGCATCTGCACACAGTAGATTTTGCTGTGGAAAGTTCCATTGGCACAAGCTAGGTAAGTTACCTGCAGCACAGAACATTGTTAAGGAAAAGATCACAGCTGGACTAAATATGCATCTCTTCTGCATGGGGGGCGTTGTTTGGAGTGAGAATTTATTATAGTCCCCTTTGACAAGCTGGGAAATCTTAACCATTAAAAAGCAATTTTTCCAATCTGAAACTTGCACATGGGAGCACACACGCACGGCAAATCAGGGAATCTGGACTCAAGAAGTAGTTTAAAAAAAAAGATCAATGAAGTAGTCAAGCAAAGAGCAACTGCCAACTCCACTCGCAGGATATGAATATATAATGTGGATTTTGCACTGTTTGCAAATCTAAGGGGAACCGGTGCATTGTGCGCTGGGATGAGCTCAGAAGGAAAAATGCCCACTTAGTAGTATGTGCAGATACATCCAGGCCCTCTGCATCAAGGAAAGGATGAATGTGGGGAACAGATATTTAACAACAGGCTCTTCAATCTAGCAGAGACAGGTCTCACATGATCCAATGGCAGGAAGCTGAAGCCAGACAAATTCAGACTGGAAATCAGGCATACGGTTTTGATGGAGAAAACGACTGGAGCAATTCACCAGGGCCAGGGTGGATTCTCCATCACTGACAACTTTTAAATCAAGGTTGGATCTGCTCTGGGAATTATTTTGAGGCTGGTCTGTGCTCTACAAGAGGTCAGACGAGCTCATCACAACGGTTCCTCCTGGCCTGGGAATCTATCAGTGTCTGACAGGTTTGAATGGGAAGCTGTCTGCTTATGATCATCTCCGTTCTGATTAGTCCAGAAAAAAGACAGGACGTGGCTGGAGAAGTGTCTATCTCCCATTGTACTGCTGACACCCATTGTCTCCCACCAAGGTCACCTCCCATTCCAATTGAGGAATGGCCACCTCGAGACTCTGCAGTATATTGCTAACATCCTCCGACCCCACAACTTGCGCGTGCCTGGGCCTAGGAGCAACAGCTGTCTCAGTGCTCAAAGCCCTCGGCCACAGGCCAATACCGGGTGCAGGAGCAAAGGTGCATCACAGTCACATCCCCACCCGCTCCAGAGAGCCAAGACGGAGAGAGGGAAGGAAGGCGAGACCGGGAAGATTTATACTCGTTTAATTAATGTCAAATGTAGTTTACAAACGGGAATGACAAGTACCTTTTTATATAATATACATTGACACACAATCATTGACACAACTGGAATATCACCTTGTGCAATTGGGATTCTTTGGGCAAAGAGAGTTAATTTCTTTTTTTGTTTTTTTTTTTTTGTTTAAGCTCATTGTGGAAGAGGAGAAAGCGATCGTTGGTTACAAAACGCGGCTGGCTCCTGAGAAGGCCAGAATGAGACTCTTCTCTCTCCATTCTCCCCTCAGATCCCCACCCTTCTTAAAAACAGGGACGGCTTTACATTAAAAAAAAAAACATTACTGGTTACATATGGTTTTACAGATACGTACACAGCACATTGCTGCTCCACAACACACGAGAGAGAGCCTGGCTCTCAGTGCCTCCTTGCAAGGCAGAGCTCGGGCACTGGGGAACCTGCCCTCCCCACTTCCCCATTCCCAACTGCCTTTAAAAAAAAAAAAATCACTGCGCATTCTCCAGTTCCATTCACAGAGAGATCCCAGCTCTAGTACCAAGGGCACCCGCAGCTAGTGCTGGGCAAGGCGGCCCCCCCTTGCAGAGTTTATTATTCCAATTTAAAAACCAACCCTACTGACTGCCTTTCCCAGGGCTTAAGTGCTACAGGCAGGGCTACTTCCCAGCAGAACGAATGGCGTTCCAAGGCTTAACTGCACGTGCAGCCCCTCCCGCTGCTCTCACAGGCCTGTCTCTGCAGGGGAGAAACTTCCAAACTTGGAATGTTAGAAGAGTTTTCTCTCGCAGTCACAGATTCTTCATCTCCCAAAGACCGCCCAAGAAGGTACACATGTGCAGCATGTTAGCTACCAGGGAATGGCCACGGACGCCCGGGATAGACTCACAGGGGCAACAACTGTACTATAGGTAAAGGTTGCTGCCTTGAGAGCATAAGGACCCAGGAAGCTCAGAGTTAAGTGATATCATCTTTGTTGGCGGAGGGGGAAGAGATATAATTCCATCAGGAGACAGATTTATTTTGTGCAACAGGGTCCTTTAGAAATCAAACAGCAAGACACTGACCAAAATGGCAGCTCCCAGGAGAAGACATCAGACACTCAGGCAGGGAAGTTGCGATAGAACTATCATCACTGAGAAAAGCTGCCTCGTCAAATATTCTGTTACTGCAAAACACAAACCATCTTTGCAGTGCTGGGGAGGAGTCCGGAGACCCTCTTGATGTCAGCACACCCTATAGTGGCCAGGTGGCCAACACCAAGAAATCCAGCAAGTAGGAGGCTTCCAAAAGGCCTTCAAATGACCCCTGGAGGTACAATATTCCTGTGTCTAGCTTATTCTGGTCTCTCACCTGGGTTCATGAAGTGAGACAGCTAGTGAGGGGGGGCTGCCTGGTGAACACCACCACAAGGGTAACTTCACCAACTTCCCTCCTCCCACATTTCAACTCTGGGCTACTGTCCTGCAAGGTCACCACCCTGGCAACAACAGCCACCAGTGAGAACCTTTAAACAACGCTCACGCAGCCTTGCAAAACTCAAGTGGCTCGAGAGGCGTACGTTGCTTTTTGGTAGGTAAAATTGTATTAGTTTCTTTGTTCCCAAGGTAATAGGGGAGCAGATGGCAACCCTCAGCTAGTGACAGCTGTGTGCGGCTGTGGACCTGGAAGCTAAGGACAACTGAGAGCTGCTGTAGGTGCTGCTGTGGAAGAAGCTAGGAGAAATCTCCTGGGATAAGGTCATTGGGGATCTCTGGCACTGACTGGAAGTATCTGAATCTTTGCTCATCTTAGTTCGGTGAGGCTGGGTTCTCCTTGCCAACTCAGTGGCCTGAGAGAGGGGCCCTAGCAACACCCTTTACTTAGATGCGGAAGTTACTTTGCATTGTTTTAGGAGGAGGAACGTGCACCATGTCCTAGGAACCCCGGCCCAGGCAGGCTCTGGAAGAGATCGGCGATCTAAAGCAACCTTCCACTGTAGCAAAGAGCTCATACGAGAAAGTCAGTGCAATTCTCAGGCCTCTCGTACTGGCAAAGCGGTAGAACAAGACAGCAGGATGGACGGAGATGGTAAAAAAAGGCAGTACAGTAGCCTCCCCAGAGAACACCTCTAGCAAGAGTCTTCCTTCCCTGCACTGTAGTCACCCCCTACTACTCAGCCCGCAACGGTCTCAGCCAGAAGGGAGAGCACAGACTGAAGCCTTGGCCCCGAGCCTGTGCCATGGCCCCACCTCTCCTGTGCCATAGCCCCACCTCTCCTGTGGGCATAGGAGGCGCTCTGGAGCAGAGAGAACACCCTGGGCCATTGGGCAGTGAATTCCTTTCCAGTGGGAACAAAACAAGCCAGTGGCACGTTTTTGCTTGGACCAGGGCATGGCCTTTGGTTTTCGTGGGCAATGGTTGGGTTAACTGAAGCTTTGGGGTGCAGATTCCCAGCCACTGGAGACAGCTGCACTTGGCCAGGTTCATTCCTGTCTCCCAGCTAATCTCAACTCCTGCCCGTGGCCCAGATGGAAAAGAGGTGAAAGCACCTGAGCCAGACCTTTCCAGCTGCCCCCCCGATGAGAAACTAAACGCTGCTGGCTTTCTGTGGGATAACGATTCTATGCGAAACAGCCCCATCAGCTACGACTAATGACAAAACCCATCTCCCCTACTCCCCATAAGTCTTGTAAGTTATGGGTGCTGCAACAGCCATTACTAAAAAGCTGTTAACTTCATATCTGACCGAGGAAATATACACCACAGAACATTAAACCATTTACATTATAGATATGTAGATATATACTTTTTTTAAACTAATGACTTTAATGCCAAAGCTTCGCAGAACCAAGAAAAATATGGATTTAATGTTCTCTGCTCATTTTTTTCTTCTTTAAAAAAAATACAACCAAAAAAAAGGGCAACTTATTAGTATGTAATGTTTGTGTCTATCCCATTTATACACAACATTGTAAACATATATAATCTATATTACATGTGCTTCATTTTCTGCCTGTGTGTTTTTTCTTTAAACCTTTTTTAATCACTAGAACACCACCAAAAAAAACCAACCAACCAAACAAAAAACAAACCCAAAAAACAAACAAAAACAAAAAAAACCCAACCAACCAAACTGAACAAAGAACACAAGTTACAGGTTATTTAACATCTTTCCGTCAAGGGTCCCTTCCCAGTCGTCTGGGGTTGGAGGCGTGAACAGCACAGTCCAAAGGAAGGGCTCACAAGCCATCCGCAATGCAAAGCCAGCTCTGGGGAGAGGGGAACACTGGTTTTAAAAAAGGGTTTGGTTTTGCCTGCAGTAGAGTTGCCAAAGGAGGTCCCAAAACGACAGACACGGAAGCCGAGGCTTCCCCGCGGCTCCTTTATCCTCGAGTCCATGTCTGGAGTCTATTGGTTTTAAACGTCTTTTTTTATCATCGTTTTCCCCCCTCGGTGTGATTAGCTGATCCGGGTAGCTGTGTCCCGCCCTCCAGCTGTGTCCTTCATAAGTAGATGCGCCTGAGGTCTCCGGGAGACGTGATGGTGTTACACTGGGGGCAGAGCTTCTTAGCACCCTGCAGCCAGCGGAGGAACAGAAAGAGAAATGTCAGCTAGGCAGACGCAGGACAACGGCGCGAGTTTCCCCTCGGCTGTGATGCTGGGGATGACAATATGGAAGCAGGAAAGGCCAAGGCCTCCCAATAGCCAGGACCCCTGCCATGAAGGAAACAGGACAGAGAGGGGATGCCCTCTGAGCAGCAGGTATGAGCCCTCTGAGGGGAATCAGGCACCCCCTTCCCCAACACAATCCCTGCTAACACGGTATGCACCTAGGAGGCCCCCGGCCACAGGCTCAAGGAAGAGGAGAATCCAGCCTGAGTGCATCTCATTCATGCTTTGACTCATCAGGGGCATTCATTCTGCATCCTTTTAACCCCCTGCCCACATGCCAGCTCTTCTCGAGAGTCCCCATCTACAGACGCTGCTTGGGCAGCACCAGCTCCGAGGAAACAGCCAGGAGGCTTGGAGCTGGATTAGCGCTCGGCAGAAAACTGAAATTCAGTGCAACAGTTAGCCGATTCTCCTCCATTCCCTTCTTTACAGCACCAACTTTGGCTCCAACTGTCCCGCTCCATCCTTCCCACCCGACCGAGCTGTGTGCTGGCCCCTGGGTGTCAGATGTAGCCCACCCTGGGTGTAGCTCTGTCTTCACTGACCGCTGGCCCAGTGAGGGGAATATCAATTGCTTAGAGCCTTTGTGCTAATGGACCAGTAGAGGTGCATGCTTTTAGCACCAGAGGTCCTGGGTCTGACCCCCACATCTGCCAACCCAGCATGGGGCGTTGTGTTACACAGAATGACGCTCTCATGGCCACTGTGGCATTCACTGAACAGGACGACAGGGAGTGTGGGGAAAGACACTGGTCCTAAGGCTTCAGTGCTGCTCCTCTAAGCAGCAGGAGCAGCATGGGGAGTGCCAGCCCCAGGGAGCGTTCTTACTTTTCCCCTGACCCTTTAGAAGCCCCTTCATGGGATCAGGAGGGGATGGAGTGGCTGTCTGCAGCTTGCAACCTCCCTTGGGCTGCAGATAGCGTCCCTAGGTCAGGGCTGCTCCAAGAAGAGTTAATGCCTCCTCCACCATCGCTCCCCACCTGCTGTGCAATGCTCCTGTGGATGCTGTTACACCTGGGCGGTGGGGGGCCAGCTCAGCATCATGGAGCCCCCAGTGCCCTGCGGGGCTGGAAGTTCTCTCCCTGACACAGTGGCTCGGGGGCCTTTGGAGGCTGCACTCTTGCTTCCTAGGAGCCACCCAGCAAGGAAGATCGAGGCAATGTGGGGGTTCAGCTAGCTGCATTCCAGGACCTCTCAAACCCCGTGTTCAGAGCACAACACAATTCAAGTCTCGGAGCCCCAGAACTATACAGATCGAGGTCCTGTTCAAACGCCCCAGCCTGCCTCGGGCAGCCAATGGGAACAGGAATTCCAAGCCCTCTGCCCCACGCTACAGAGGAGTCTGTATCTGCTGCCACGGTGAACTGAAACAAGCAAACTCCAAACCCCGGCGAGGTAACGGAAGGATGACACCAGCACTGCATGAAATGAAACAATGGCTGGTGCGCCATCTGTCATGGATCCTGACAGGCAGAGGGTGTTAATAAGCCTCCGAATCGGGGGCAACCTAAGCTGCTCATCATTAGATTGGCAGGTGTGACAGACAGCTGACGAGAAAGGGACAAAGATGGCTCTGTGGCTACTGATTCTCCGCTACACGCAAGCAGGGCTGCAGTAGGCCTGGAAATCAGCCGTGCTGGCTTTGGACACTAACAGATGGCCTCAGAACACAACCTCCTGACTCCTGCGTCAAAGCAGCAAGCACAGGCTCCGTCTGAGCATCCCAACTCTTCTGCCTGCTGCTGTCAACCTGCTTCCCAGCCGTTCCTTTCCAGCCCAACTCCCCAGACAGCATGCCCGACAACAGGCCCTGTGGAATCCGACAGGCACCCAGGGCTGTACGAAGCGGGGAATGCCAGCCGGCTGCTACGGCTCGCACAGACTGACCCAGAGGAGGCAGATTCTCTCGGGAGGAAGAGCAGTGCTCCCAAGAGGGGCTTGTTTTGACCTCTGCAGCCAGGGCAGAAAGTGGGTGTTAGAGCAGTGCGCTCAGCAGGTTTGCAGGATCCGGGCTCTGTGGAAGGGCAGGTTCGGATCTGGCCATGCTGCACTGATTGCTGCCAGTGGCAGCTCTGATGACGAGAGAAGAGTTGGATGCTCTCTCTGACGCTACAATTAGCATCAGCTCTGCTCTGCACAACGAGCACCCACGGGGCAGGGAAACCTCAAACCCAAGTAGGAAACGCCTGACTTCCAGGACAAATTCAGGCTATGTCTACACTGGGTTTGTAGCCACTCGTGCAACCCGCTTAATGAGGACAAATTACATCAGTGCAGAGGAATTTGGATCCTCGCAGCTTACCCCAGCGTTGAACAGGTGTAAGGTGTGTCTGCCCTAGGGGCTTGTACCTGTGCCACTAAGAACTCAGTGCAGACAAGGCCAAGTCAACTCTCCTCGCCCTCCTGGTGCAAGCTGCCGCTGACAGGCCTCCGACCACTGAGTCGCCTTGGTTTCTGCAGCGTAGAGGTAGCCGCGCTGGCCCCAGTACACTAGAGAGACACGGGCGGGGGAGGGAATACCAATCTCTCTCCCCAGCAGAAGTTGGTCCAATAAAAGATATTACCTCACCCGCTTGCCTCCTCGTTTTCTGCCATTTGTGACCTTCGGAAGGATCGGGTGTCAAGGGGTCATTTCAGAGGGGCTGAACTCTCATCAGGCCTCACGTGGGAGATGGAAATGCTTGGTGCCATTGAAGTCAGATCTAAAGCGTCACCAAAGCCCCGCCCCCCCAACCTGCCTTGGAGGCAAATAAAGCCACTAAAAACCCTCAAATCACCCAGAGCACAGGATACACTGTGCCCTTGTGGCTAGGGCAGTAGACTAGGAGTCAGGAGACCTGGGTTCTGGTCCCAGCTCTGCAGCGATCTCAGGCAAGTCATTTCCCCTCTCTCAGCCTCTGCTTCCCACCCTTTGTCTTGTCTCTGTAGAATTTAAGCGCTTCAGGGCAGGGCCTGTCTCTCATTATGCCTGTGGAGTGCCTGGCACAAGGTGGTCCACAAGGCAAGTACCTTTACAGAGCCAAGCTGCTCTCTAGGCTCTGCCACCAACACCACGCTCTGGCGGGTAGGCTTAAAAATCAGTACACGCACTTCAAGATGCCCAGGTTACAATCCAGCCTTTTGCATCTCTCTCAGGACCTGCGCTCTGGATCCTAGAGCTGCCAAGAAGAGCCTGCTCTTGGGCTGAATGCTCGCCTACAAAGCAGGTCCCTGTTCTTGGGGGTCATGGCAGGTTGATATGAAGAGGAAGAGTGACCAATTTTTAAAGCTATTCTCTGTCATTTCAGGCTGGGGCCTGTCGCACTGCTGCTGAGATTCAGACACCTGGGGGCCCACACTGTGTGCATCAATACAATGTATTTCAATTCACATCCGACAGAACCACTGGCATGGCTGTGCAGATTCTCTGCTCGTGCAGGGGTTTCCTGCAGCCTCATGGCTGCCGGGCTCCCCACTGTCACAGGAGGGCAGGGTGTATGGTCTCTGCAGGTGCCAGAGGAGCAGAGAGGTTTGCGCACAGCGATCAGCGTTACACGGAGTGGTGGTTGGCAAGTTCTCAATTCCTGCCTGCAATGTGCCCCAGCAAGCAAAAGTGAGCATGCTAAGGATTCCAGATGTGGCTAGCTCCTGCACATCTGTCTCGACCCTTTCCTTCCCAGGAGCAGCTCATTAAGGAAGAGGCAATGAAATAGTTGTCCAATCGCACCTCACCGCTGATTACACAAGGGAAGCGGATTCTTTCTGCAGCTCCCACCCCATGGAATGGCTTGGTGCTGTCACTCTGATGGGGGGGGGGGGGGGAGAGAAAGCAGGGTGAGAGGACAGTGCTCCACAGACACTAGGTGCTCTCATGCAGTGCTGAAGAGCCTCCACAGACACGCCCTGCAGCCTCACTGCAGTCAATGGGGCTGCCCGGCTCTGGCCAAATGCAGCCAGGGGAAGAACTTTAATGGACCTTTTCCTGCTCAGTTCGCCCTATTAGAGAGAGACCCCATCGCCTCTCTGCATGTGTCCCGAGAGATGGGGACCAGCACATCCTCCTGGAATACAGAGACAGGCCCCAGCGAGAGGCGGATTTCAAACTGGCAGGCTTCTCTGGAGTGACAGAGCATTGTCTGAGCAACACGTACACATAAAACTCCTAGGAAAGGGGATGAACAACTGGGGGCCCCACCTGAGAAAGGCAAGGGAAACCCTTTCCATCAAGTGCACCTGTATAACGGAGAAATTCCCACCACGCAGCCATACCCAGCCCTCACGGGGTCAACCCGGTTCACTGAACTCCAGAACTCGTTGAGAATAAAGACAAGGAGGGAAAAAGCAATTAAAACCCAAGATCACTTTGCTGTTCCAGCCTGAGCACAGAGAAGTCTCCCAGCTCCCCGCTCTTCTCCGGGATAACTGCACTAACTAGAGATCAGACAACTGAATGCTGGGAGCTTGAGAGTGACAGGGAAAATATTCTCGTCTGAAAGCAATCTGTGTATCGTGTGCGCGCATTTCAGCTCTCTCCACACACTGGACCCAGTATGCAGAGGGCCCAAAGTGCCTGGAAGTAGAACTCATCCTTCAGGCGGTCCCACTGCACTACTTGATGCCCACCAGAACACAGGACAGGGCAAGGGCTAGGAGTCTCTAAGAATTATTTGGGGACAGTTCTCTGGCCAGAATGGATCACAGTGGCCCCTCCTGGGGTTGGAATCTATGAATCTGTCCTTTCTCTACTTAGAAAAAGTATCTCAAACTCAATACCCTGCAAACTTAGGGGGGTTGATTTAAATCACTGGCTCCACACAGGCCCCTCGGTTCTATTTCCTTGGGGGTTTGTGCCTTCTGCTTCCAATGCAGATGGGATCTTGTGGGAACTGCCCTCCACGCACGAAATTTCAAGAATTTCATGAAGACAACTTGCAGCTACATAAGATGGCAGAAATCCAACCACAGGTGGTGTCTGCCATTTTGACAGTTTCTTATTCAAAGATCTAGCCCTGATTAGCCCTTGATCTGAAACTTACTCTGGATCGGAACAGAGCCTCAAAGTGACGCAAACCAGAGAAATGGGAATAGCTGTTCCAGTGGCCCAAGGAAGGCTCAGACCACAGACATGAGAATCCAGCCCTTCCAGGCAGGGTTAGTATTTCTCTTGTTCTCTCTTCAGGAACGTTCCTGCGTCAAGGCACATAGGTACAGACTACGTTGCTCCAGAGTCCAAACCAGCAAGCTGGGTCCCACCAAGAGAAACACCCTAGTGTGGATTTTATGAGGGGGGAGAATGTTGTTTCGCTGAGCTTGGATAGGACAGCTTGTTCTGGCTCACAGGGTGGGGCGTGCCGGAGCGTGAACAATGCCATCTTAACTACCTTCTGCAGCTTAGACTTTAAGCAGGCTGGCTGCACACACACAGCTGGAAGGCCCAGGGTCTCTAGGTCCCCCTAGTATCTATGTTTAGTGTTAAACAGTCCAGAGAAAAATAATGACTTTAGTCTCCTGGGAAGAGCTTATTTTTTTTTAAGCTGATGTCCCTGCACACATCAGCATGTGCGCTACATTCAGAACCCCACATTCTAAGCGTGGAGTTGTATTTTAAGCACTAAAATCACTTACAACCTTGTTCCTTGCATTTGACCACATTTTTGGTGGTGTATAGTATTTATTACTATAGGCAATTAAGCTATTCTCACACACACATGTCCTGGCACAGGGACAATGAAAAAGTATTTGTTCCCCCCTTCTCACCTGCCAGCTGGGGTTACTAAACTTTTCCCTTGAAATAAAAATGGTGTGGAATAATAAGTCACACCTGTCGGCCGTTCCCCCCACCCCGTCCTTCTGCTCCTTTCATCATTGCTCCATGGAAAAGCCTTGATGTGTTATAGCAGCGTGTGCTGCAGAAAAGCATCTCAGCTTTTCCCTTATAAACCTCAGTTTTCAGTGGTTTATAAAACTCTGCTGTAAGAAGTTTGCTCCGGGGCTGAAACACGGTAGAGAAAAGGGGCTGGGATCAAGACGGGATTTATTTTTTCCCCTCCCGTCTTAATTAAAATTTGGCAAGTGATTGATCCACAATATGGGCTAATCACTTCGGGTAGTCTGAAAAATAAATTAACAAGAGCTGCGATGTTGAGAAGTTGTTAAGGCTCACTTGGTGCCAGGAAGGACTGGAGCTTTTTGTCTTAAAGCTACCTCTTAAAAAAAGAATTACACTACATTTGTTTTCAACCAGATAAGGCAGTAAACTTGAAGTTAGGGCTTAAGCTGTTCCTGCTATCCTGTTAGTCTGTGAACAGTGATCAGTTTCCAAACAGAATGCACTACCCAGACGCAAAGGAGATGAAGGCAAATAGGACTTACATAGCCACCCACAGCATTCAAAGCACCTCACCAAAGCTCAGAGAGAGAGCTGCAGGGAGACACCCAAAGTTATGAAGAGAGCACACTGCCAGAGGTGGGAACAGAACCCAGGCTCCCCTGCTTCTGAACTAGACCATACTTCCGCCCCTGTGTGTGTGTGTACACAAAAAATGTGCCCACACATTGTAGGCCATATTTCAAAGCGTACCATTCATCTGTGCTTGTGTTTTGTCATTTATTTCCACAGCAGTAGGGTATGCATGGTGCTTTGCAGACAAATATAAAGCTAGGTCCATGCCCCGAAGAGGATGGAAGAGGGGAGAGTTGCTACCCCATGAGGCTTCAGGAAAAATCCACAAAGGACGTGGCACAAGCCAGTGAAAGGCAGGAATGAGTTATAGTTTTCTGACTGTTACGCCAGCTTTGCAAATAGCCACCCGCAATACACGTATTTTGGGACATGCACTAGTTACCTGAGGAAGGTTACAAGGCTCAGTATTAACTAGTACCATCTACAAGAAAAATATGTATTAAATCTGAGAACATGGCTTTTCTGACAGATCTGTTCAGAAGGTACTGTTAAGGCGAGTTCCAGGAATCTGAAGATTTTTTAAAAGCTCATTTTTGGTCTTGCAGTGCCATCATTTACTTACATTCAAATATGCCTTAGTCTGAGAATTGCTAACCAGATGAGTGAATGAATATGCAAAGGAGGTGCTGGGTCTAGATGCACAGAACCCAGGATAAAAACGCTCTCCCATCCTGAATTACAACACAGCTACACCTCACACAGAGCTCATGTGCTGAGAGACAGAGAGTGGTCTTGGAGCTCTAACTCATGTGAATGATAACTGGTAATCATTTAAGAACACCTAATTAGATGCTGAAAAGCCACAACCGAGGAAGGAGGGGATGGTTAAAGGGGGGAAGCGAAGGCAGCACTAAAGAAAGAAAAAGGAAGTTGATAGTAATGAATATAAATCAGATGTTAGAAATTGTAGAAAACTGATAAGGGAAGCAAAGGGACACTAAGAGAAAACTATGGCCAGCAGAATTAAGGACAATAAGAAGTTTTAAAAATATATTAGGAACAATAAGAACAAAAGGAACATTAAGAACAAAAAGAATCCTGACAATGGAATTGGTCCATCACTAGATGGAAATATTAGAATTATCAATAATAATGCAGAAAAGGCAGAAGTATTTAATAAATATTTCAGATCTATATTTGGGGAAAAAACAGATGAAATAGTCTCATCTTATGGTGATGATAACATTCTTTCCATTCCACTAGTATCTCTGGAGGTGTTAAACAGAAGCTACTAAAGTTAAACATTTTATTATCAGCAGCTCCAAGTAATTTACAGCCAAGAGTTTTAAAAGAGCTGGCTAAGGAGATAACTAGACTGTTAATGCTGATTTTCAGTAAGTGTTGGAGCACTCAGGAAGTTCCAGAACGCTAATGTTGTTCCAATTTTTAAAAAGGGTAAATGGGCTGACCCAGGTAATTAATCCTGGGCAAGAAAATGGAGCAGCTTATATGGAACTCAATTAATACAGAACTAAAGGAGAGTACTGTCATTAATGCAAATCAACATGGGTTTATGGAAAATAGATCCTGTCGAATTAACTTGATATCTTTTTTTGACGAGATTACAAGTTTGGCTGATAAAGGTAATAATATTGATGTAATATACTTAGACTTCTGTAAGGCGTTTGACTTGATGCTGCATGACATTTTGACTAAAAAACTAGAATGACATAAAATTAACATTGCACACATTGCATGGATTAAAAGCAAACTGATAGCTCTCAAAAATGAAACTTTGAATGGGGAATCGTCCTCAAGCGGGCCTGTTTGTAGTGAGGTCCTACAGAGATTGGTTCTTGGCCCTACGCTACTTAATATTTGTATCAATGAACTGGACAAAAAACACAAAATCATCAATGATAAAGTTTGCAGATGATACAAAAATTGGGGGAGTGGTAAATAATGAAGAGGACAGGTCACTGATTCAGAGCAATTTGGATCACTTGGTAAACTGGGTACAAACAAATCATGTGTGGTTTAATACAGCTAAATGTAAATGTATCCATCTAAGAACAAATAATGCTGGCCACACACATAAGATGGGGAATTCTATCCCAGGAAGCAGTGACTCTGAAAAAGATTTGAAGGTCATGGTGGATCATCAGCTGAACATGAACTCTCAGTGTGACGCTGTGGCCAAAAGGTCTGATGCAATTGTGGGATGCATAAAAAGGGGAATCTCGAGTAGGAGCAGAGAGGTCATTTTACCTCTTTATTGGGCACTGGTGTGACTGCTGCCGGAACGCTGTGTCTAGTGCTGGTGCCCACAATTCAAGAAGGATGTTGATAAATTGGAGAGGGTTCAGAGAAGAGCCTTGAGAATGATTAATAGATTAGACAACCTGCCTTCTAGTGACAGACTCCAGGAGCTCAGTCTATTTAGCTTAACAAAGAGAAGGTTAAGGGATGACATGATCACCGTTTATAAGTACCTACATGTGGAACAAATATTTAATACTGGGCTCTTCAATCTAGCAGAGGAAGGTCTAACATGATCCAATGGCTGGAAGTTGAATCCAGACAAATTCAGACTGGAAATCAGGTGTAAAATTTTTACCAGCGAGGGTAATTAACCACTGGAACAATTTACCAAGGGTCATGGTGGATTCTCTATCACTGACAATTTTTAACTCAAGTTTGGATGTCTTTCTAAAAGATCTGCTTGAGGAATTCTTTTGTGAAGTTCTCTGGCCTGTGCTACACAGGAGGTCTCGTCTGGCTTTAGAATATAGGAATACTTTACTTAGAAATTCTCGGGCTAGGATTTGCAAGATCCTGGACAGGCTTCCAGTGTGACTTTGGGAAAAATCACTTAATGTTTGTACCTTGGTCTTCCTGTCTGTAAACTGGGGACAACGATACCTCTTCCTTCCCTGACTTGTGAGTGTTGCAGTGATGAGCCCCAGAGAAAAGCCTATAAGTAAAAACTAGCCCATAAATATGGTCTGAAAAAACAAAACAAAAACTGCAGACAAATTAAGCCAGTAAAGGTTAGTCTGATTACACCGGAAACCCAAGTAGGACCACACTGGCCCTAGGATATGGACATGTGCTTCCCACATCACTGTCCCTCTCCCATGTACTCAAAACCATACAGTGGCCTGACAGCTGAGAAAACTCAGACCCAGGCGCATGCCAATTGCTGACTCTTGGGCCCCGGCTGGTTAGTTATGTGCAGGCAGTGGGGTGAACAGTTAAGATGGACACTTGTTTAAAATGCTCTGACCGTTCATGTATGCACAGATGGTTTCTCCCCAACTCAGAGAGGCCTCTGCAAAGCAGCATCTAGCCTGGCATCTCCCATTAGTGTTAAGAGGCACTGACCAAATCCTTCAGTTTCTCACACTCAGGATGCACCCGTAAAGTACAGCTCTATTCTGGTGAGTAAGTAGGAAGGGCCCTTCTTACTAACCAGGCCTGCATCCTGTGTGTATGCAACCACATCTCCTGGCTTGAATCAATAATGCAAGCTAACACAGCAATGGGACAGAGAGGGGGAGTTTGCGCTGGCTCAGGTCTCATTCACAGAACTGTTAGCTACGTTCCAAATGCAGAACATTTGTGTCCATGATGACTCTCCAACCCCGGGAAAGTCTGTGGGATCAGCTGGTAGAAAGCCATACGCAGGTTTTCACTTACAAACTCAGCAGATCTGATCCGGAGTCAGGCACACACACAGCATGAAGCCCCATGATGCCATTTTCAAAGTGCCTCTTTTTCAGAGCAGCACCTATTAAGGGCCCAATCCTGAGGGCTGCCCTGGACACAAATGGAAGTCAATGGGTGCTCAGCCCTAGGACAGTCTGGCTCTAGAAAATCTTCAGACCCTATAAGTTTTTAAAATTATTTCACCCTCCCTGCTCCATGGGGACTGATGTGGCCAGCAAGTGCCCTCCTGTGAGACGTTTGAAGCTTTGTCTCCCACTTTGATCCCTTGTTTCTAAGGCCTTAATATATATAACATAAGAAAATGTAATCTAACATTAGGTCTCAGCTGTGCATATAAAAACACAGGCATAGAAAATCTGGACTTTTCACTAAGGGGGATGGCAGATCTCCAGACAGTTCAGAAGCGGCCGGAAGCCCAACACAACTCACCCCCCCATAACTCCTATTAACTCCAACAAATTGTTTATTGCACAACAGAAGAAAAATGTTGCCCCTCTCCCCCCATCAAATCTTTCCATGTGTGCTGCACGCGTAGGCTATTTCTGCTTTCCCTGCCACCCCCACGGGGAGCTGGCTTTATACCCAGGGAAAGGTAACAGCCGCAATTATTACACACACTATCCCACAGCTCCTCGCTTGTTAAAGAAAACAAGAGTCCCTTTTGTGCCCGAAATAAAAGGAGATACCTTAATTAGAACAGTGCAGGTTGGTGAGTATTAAACACTGAGCCCAGCTGCTGTATGCCATTAAATTCATAAAAAAAAAAGGGGGTGGGGGTGGGCAGTCTTAACGAGATTACACACATTGACTTTGATCAAGACACAAAAGCACCAAGGCGTTCCAGGGTTTTTATTGCTGTCTTCGGGCTACATTTTAATGGTTACATTAGAAACATGAGAATGCAGGCTGGGAGATTTGGGAGAAGAGAGAGAGCCCGAGCATGCCTCGTGAAAGGTCCTGGTTTAATCAACTGCGGACTACAGGAAGAGGGTAGGGCTGGGGAACAGATGAGCAGCAACTTATTAATTGCTTCCCCCACACAAGTGCCAGCACCTAACCCTACGTCCTGCTGGAATATTCCCTTCCCTCCTGCCTGGTGAGAGCCAGGCTCTGGGCGTGGCCAATACACAGCAAACCCAGTCCCCATTTACCCCACCACACAGCAGTGTGGGGAGGGAGGGGTGAGACCAAATTTAATCACTCCTCTCCTTGGAAAAGTGAGCGTTAACCCCTTAATGCCAGGAGCACAATCTTCTAGGGATTCAGTCTTATTGCAGGCCGCAGGATGCTGTGAAGTTGTCAGTGGAACAAAGGGGCTTGACAGAAATTGAAGAGTGCCTGAGCCTCTGAAGGGCTCACAATAGGAGCTGCTGGCCTAAAAGACCATCTTGGGATGGCGGGGAGCAGAGGGGTGAAGGAAACGGAGGAATAAAATCCAACATGGAATAGAAATGCTCTATTCTCCGTTTGCAGCCAGCACTGAAGAATTGGATTATACCTAGGATCAGCGGTGCATACCCTCATCTGAACACCTTACTGCTACGTAGCTGTGCAAGAGTCTTTTGCAATGTGTTGCTAAATGCCTAAAAAAGCCTGTGTAATCTAAGTAGTGACAGAGGTGTAGCTGAATAGCTAGAAAATACAGCCCCAGGACAGTTGAGTTACTGAGGTTACTATTGATACCCAGTGCTGCAGGCATTTCACCATCCCAGTAACTTTTCTCAGCCAAAATATTTAACAGGCGGTATCTAAAGGCCCATCGCCAGGTTAGCTGAAGCTCCAAATTTACAGTGTGTTCTGTAAAAATAAGACGTTACAGGACCTAACAGCAGCAGCTTTTAGAAGAGTGCTAGTCCCCATACATCATTTGCCACCCAACTCTGTAGCATCCTGCTAATGCCGGAGCACCACAAAGTGAAAGTGACTAGCTCAAATCTCCATTGCCCAGGCTGAGTGAAATGAGAGTTATGGTCAACATCAGCAGGGGATAATAAAAGTCAGGGTTAGGAAAGGAAAGGGCATCACTTTAACAAAATATTAATTTCAACACAAGCGTGTCCCTTTGAAACTAACAAAAACGCAAATTCTGGGGCACTGGGCCACCTCTTCTACACTTCCAATAGTGCCCAATTTTCCGGACAATCAACCACACTAGTTAAAAACTGCATGATGCTGTTTCAATTATTCAGAAGAGGGGAAGGAAATAGCACCGATGGGTGCTGCACAGGCCAGTGGATCCCAGCTAAGTGGCTCTAAACTGGGATCCAAGCTGCAGCTGCACAGTGCATGAAACTCCTTTGGAAGTCAACAGGAATTCCACACGTGGCACTGTTCCAACACTGAGCCCTCCCATCAGTGAGTAAAGAGTGAGCAGGACCACTCTTCAGGGAGGGTAACTCAAGCCCAGCTCCGCCCAATGAAATCAAACCGGAAGGACTTAAATCTGACCGGTGTGTTTAATAAAAGTTTGGGCACCCCACATATGCAGAACCCCACTGAGACCATTTCCTATTAAGCAAGAACCTCTCCTGCAATGTAAGTACATGTCTGGGGAGAGGGAGAAGTCTACGAGTCAATGAGAAAGCAGCCGAGTGCCTCACCAGAGTCCGCAGCCAACATTCTTCACAGTGCACATGCCAGCACTGAATGGAAGTCAGGGGCATTGTGTAAGAGTCCTGAAGAGAAAAAGCGAAGACATTCTCATCACATAAAAGGCTGGCTGATTCCCAGCCTACAACTATGTCACCAGGGTATTCGCTTTGGGGAGGGGGCAGGAGAAGAGGGCAGTTACCCAGAGTAAATGCTTCCCATTCCTCCCATCTTAATAAGAACACAGCTCAGGAGTTGCTCCATATACAGTGAGCCAGATGTGATGCATCAGACAGAAACAAAGCACAGAAATCAGGCAAACTCTCACTGACTTCAGGACTGAGTGAAAACTAAGCAGGGATCTAAACTTTAGCTCAAGAGTAACAGAGGTGGAAAGTCTCCTGTAGGCCATTTCTTTGCCTGACAGAAGTCCATAACCCACCTGGTGGTGACATGGCTCATCCTGGTTAGCTAGAGTGGTACGTCTACACTGCAATTTTATAGCCCCATGAGTCTGAGTCAGTAGACCTGGGCCAGCCATGGTTATTCCATGGGTCTTTTATAGTAGGGAAGTTGTGCCCACGTACCATTATTCCAATGGAAAGATCACCAGATTGTGCAAGAGCAGAGATAAGGGATAAGATTAACTCTCATCACAGCTGCCCACTCTGCTGGAATAGCTTAACTAGCTACCAAGAATACTGTAGTCATTTCAGCAGCACCTATTCGCGCGCTAGTCTTTTCAAGTGATTTATTAATGAGGGCAGGAATCAACAACAGACAGTACGTCAGCCCTAGAATCAGAGATGGGAGTCTGCCTGATCCATCTTGCACCAGCCGTTTCACTGGCAACTCCATCCAAGCAACATTTTCTTCTTCTATTGACCCATGGGACAAACAGAGCTCGGAAATAAAACCAGACGAGAGAGGCAAAAATCTGCAGGCTCTGAGCCATTAGAGGGAGCTGCAGCCCTTCTTTAGGGAAGCCAAAGCGACAACACACATAAAACTAACAGGACACAGGCAACTTTTAAATGCATAGGCAAAATTCTTGCCTTCAAGCCACATGGAGGGTCTCAAATCATGCATTCTCCTCTCCTTAGGGATGTGCAACTCTGCACATGCAGGAAGAGGAAAACGCAGGCACTTGGGAGTCTGCATGGTCAATTTGAAAGGGGAATGCTGTCCCATGAAGTTAGAAATTTCTGCTCCTAACACAGACTGCTACAAACACCAATGAAATGATATAACTGATACACACACACAGAAACACCTGGAAAGAAACTTGCAACGCATTTAGCCAGAAAAAGGAAGAGTTTTTTCCTTGTGTAAGGACAGGGATGGATTCACCTTACCAAACTAGTAGGATTCACCCCTTTCCCCACCTCAGCAAAGACAAGTCAAAGGTACCGAGACGCTTTCTGATTCATTGCCACAACTGGAGTGCTACTCACCATGCAAATGAGACATTTATAGCGGTCTCCACGGGAAAGCTGCCTTTCTAACTCCCGGACACGAGCCTTTAACGCTTCAAATGTTGTCACTGCAGAGTCTTCTGTAATTCTGCAAGAGATGATGAAAGTCAGGGCTACTTGGTAATGCTTTACAAAAGTTAAATTCATGGTCCTTTTGGTAGGTGCAGAAGATGCAGTGACAAGGTCCAAAGAAACAAATTCAGCATATGCAAAGGATTATTTGAAATGGAGGGTTATTAAGAAGCCCATGGTTTGCATTCTTTATGCCAGAAGCTCTGGCAAACACACTGGCATGTAAAGCCTCTGCAGAGATCTGAAAAAGAGAAGGATTTTGGGTAGGTAACATTATACAGAACGTGTTTAAGCAGAAATTAAATGGTGGAAACAGGAGTCACGGCCCTTTACTCCCTTCTTTCCCTATCACTGCAAGAGGCCCCAGGTCAATGTCATCCCAACAAAGCTCAAAGAGCTGCTCTGGAGCTGGGAAGGTGTGTTTCTCTCAAGAGCAAAAAGTAGTCATATCACATGGTGGTGACAGCACTCTTTCCTTTCCACTAGTACCTAAGGAGGATGTTAAATAGAAGCTATTAACATAGACATTTTGAAATAAGCAGCCCAGATAACTTGCATCCAAGAGTTTTAAAAGACCTGGCTCAGAAGACAGCTAATGCTGATTTTCAATATATCTTGGAATACTGGAGAAGTTCCAGAAGACTGGAAGAAAGCTAATGATGTGCCAATATTTAAAAAGGGTAAACGGACTGACCTGGGTAATTATAGGCCTGTCAGTCTGACATTGATCCTGAGCAAGATAATGGAGCGGGTCATAAAGAACTTGATTAATAAAAAATTAAAGGACTTGACTAGAGGTGATTATAATTAATTTCAATCAATGTGGATTTATGGAAAAGAGATCCTGCCAAATTAACTGGATACCTTTTTTTGATGAGATTACAAGTTTGGTTGGTAAAGGTAATAGTGTTGATGTAATATATTTAGACTTCTGTACAGCATTTGACCTGGTGCTACATGAAATTTTGATTAAAAACTATAGAGATGTTTAACAGGGCACATGTTAAATGGATTAAAAGCTGGCTAACTGATAGATCTCAAAATGTAATTGTAAATGGGGAATCATCATCCAGCAGGTGTGTTTCCAGTGAAGTCCTGCAGGGATCAGTTCTTGGCCCTACACTATTTAACATTTTTATCAATGATCTGGAAGAAAACATAAAATTTTTGTTGATAAAGTTTGCGATGACAACAATTGGGGGAAGTGGTAAATAATGAAGAGGACAGTTTACTAATACAGAGCAATCTGAATACCTTGGTAAACTGGGCACAAGCAAACTGTAAATTTTAATATGGCTAAATGTAAATATATACTTCTAGGAACAAAGACTGTAGGCCATGCTTACAAGATGGGGGACTCTATCCCAGGAAGCAGTGACTCTGAAAAAAGATTTGGGGGTCATGGTGGATAATCAGCTGAACATGAGCTCCCAGTGTGATGTTGTGTCCGAAAGGGCTAATGCCATCCTGGGATGCATAAACAGGGGAATCTCGAGGAGGAGGAGTAGAGAGATTATTTTACCTCTGTATTTGGCACTGGTGGAATAGTGTGTCCAGTTCTGGTACCACAATTGAAAAAGGAGGTTGATAAATTGGAGAGGGTTCACAGAAGAGCCCAGAGGATGATTAAAGGATTAGAAAAACCTGCCTTCTAACGATAGAACCAAGGAGCTCAGTCTATTTAGCTTAACAAGGAGAAGGTTAAGGGGTGACTTGATTACAGTCTCTAAGTACCTATATGGGGAACATATTTGATAATGGGCTCTTCTACCTAGCAGAGAAAGGCATGACCCGATGCTACGGCAGCAAGTTGAAGCAAGACAAATTCAGCCTGGAAATAAGGAATAAATGTTTAACCATGACAGTAAGTAACCACTAGAACAATGTCCCAACTGTCGGGGCAGATTCTCCATCACTGTCAATGTTTAAATCAAGGTTGGATGTTTTTCTAACAGACCTGCTCTAGGAGTTATTCGGGGAAGTTCTATGGCCTGTCTTATGCAGGACGTCAGATTAGATTCTCAGGGGTTCTCAAACTTCATTGCACCGCAACCCCCTTCTGACAACAAAAATTATTACATGACCCCAGGAGGGGGGGAGTAGAGCCTGAGCCCTCCCGAGCCCTGCCACCCCAGGTGGCGGGGCCGGGGCCAAAGCCTGAGCCCCCCTGCCCCTAGCAGGGAGCCTGTAACCTGAGCCCTGTCAATCAGGGCTGAAGGGGCTCAGGCTTTGACTTTGGCCCTGGGCCGAGCAAGTCTTAAGCCAGCCCTGGAGACCCCATTAAAACGGGATTTGTGACCCACTCTGGGGTTCCGACCCACAGTTTGAGAACCCCTGGGCTAGGTGATCATAATGGTCTCTTCTGGCCTTGGAATGTCTGAATCTAAAAACAGGTGGACTGCCGCTGCTGGGATACTGGCCCTGGTAGCTCGGGACATGAATGCCACACGTTGCACCAGGACAGACAGGACGCAACAGGTTTATGATCAATGAAGTCTCACTTTTCAGATTACTGTCACTGAAAAGGAGAAGGGACGGAGCGGAAAGCCAAAGCTGCAGACACCATATCAAGGAGCTAGATCTAAAAGCAGCTTTGCAAGCCCTGCTTGCCCATTTGCCTGGGGTCATTTTTGACAGGCAGCAATATATTGTCACACAGGCTCTGTCATGAGGACAGGCAAAGATGTGTTCATGATTCTGCCAGGCAGACAGAAAGAGTTAGTTGGCAACTGAGAAACAGGCAGACAGCAACAGCAACACTGAGAAAATGGGATGGAAGATGAGAGCTTCTGAGAAGGGTGGAGAGGAAGAGGAGAAACACAGGCCTTTCCACTGTGTAGACATAACTAAGCTCCTTTTGACTTTCCTCTTAAAACCTTTTACAAGATATTGCAGTGGGGCTGTGGATAGAAAAGGAGTTCACTGCTGAGGAACAGTGGAGCAGTTTATAATTCATTCTAAGTTAATTTCAGGTCAAATCTATGCAGCTTCCGCGTCAGAAGAACGGCAAGAAAAACCCACAATCTGAGAATGTAGAATTTATTCTATGTACTCTAGTAACACCGGTATCAGAAGCCAGTCCCTGTCCCAAAGCACTTATTTAGCAAATTGTGAGCTAACAGGTGGACACAGCAAGTGGTTTGAGGCAGGGGCCATCGAAACCATCATGACTGGGATAGTAAGCAGCAGTCCCAGAACACCCACGTACTTGTTGCTTTGTGTATTAGTAATTACCATCTCTAGTCAAGGCTCTGGAAACATAACTTAGATGGCCATCTTTCTGTTGACTCCTTATAAGCAGAATGGAATCTAGCTAGTTTCTCCCACTGCCACGTTGGCTGGGCAGAGCCAACATGTTGAAAAACCCTGGGTGTGGCAGGAAAGCAAGCAGCTAGAAATTACAGTGGAAATGGATCTGGCAGTAAAGGAGCTTCAGAGTCACTTTTCTGAGCAAAACCAGAGCTCAAGAGGGTGTAGATGGAAGGGGTACTGTAGGCCTATGTGGGGTTAGGAACAATCAGTACAGAGCATTCTTTGGACACAATCCGTGCAGAGCTCTCTCAGCTCCAATTCTAGCCTGCAATGCAGGATGGGCCACCAATGTTAAGGCTGCCAAGAGCCTTCTCACTTGCCCACCTGACCTGGGCACTGCTGCACCTGAATGCTGAAAGATACAGCGAGACGACGTTGGAGGCAAATTCTCCCCTCTATCTCATGAAAGGCATGAGGAGATTTCTGATGGCATTTGAGCTCTGCCAGAAACCAGATCCTCTCCAGGTAACCAAGCAGAGGTGGGTGACAGGGAAAATTTCAGTGCTAATTGAACTCTTCCATGTTCACATTAAAAGAGAGAGTGTTTCTCTCTCAGTCCCAGCCCAACCAGAGTCAGAGTTTGAAAGGGAAATTTACCAGTGCAACAACTGGAGGGGATAGCAAATGGCTTGTTTAAAGAAGTTGAAAGGGCTGATCCCATCAGCCAATTTTGGAAAGTCGCTGAGATAATTGCGCCTGTCCAGTAATAAATGAATAAAAGCAGAAAAGGACGCTGAATAGAGAGAGAAGCAACAGCACTCAGAACCCGCCTGATACAATGGCCAATCAATAGGAGGGCTGCAGATCAGGGCGCTAGTTAGGTGGAAAATTACCACACGGCTGTGTGCGTCACGCTGGAAGGATCCTGGACAATCAATGTGGGAGCTATCGATTTAGTTATTATCACTTCATATGCTCCAGACATTGTTAAATATACATTTATTAACAAGGCTGGGGTGCATTCAGTAGAGAGGGAGTTTTAACAAGTGCAACCTCTCCTAGCTCTGATCAAAGCTCAGCCACTAGAGCCTTTAACCTCCCGATTCCTCCCCGTCAAGCTCTACCTCAGAACAAACCCTAAGGATCTAGTCAGTGGATAAGACCCTGCCCCATCTCGTGACTTGAGAGAGTATTTGGCCATAAGTGCCCATTTCGCGGTTGCGATTTTGGGAAAGCCTTCTGGAGCAGCAGAAACAAAGGACTCGAGGCTCAGGGTCCAAACAAAATGAGAGCTACTCACACTGCTGCTTCCAGAGAAAGGGAGGAAATGAGGTCCACGGGAGAACCTTAGTACGTAGGAAACTGAAGCGTCTTCCAAGGAGGGGTAAAGAGAGGAGTCACTTCCCATGTGCCTGGCTCCAGCAGCGGCCACGCCCCTCAGAACACCGGCTGTTCAACTGACGTATTTTACCATCAACCAGCTGCATGTATCCTAAAGCTAAGCATCACTCAACAGCAATTCTTCCCGCAACAGGCAAGCTGGGAACTCCATCAGACACCTCCCACCCCTTACACTTGTTTGTCTGGAGCAGGCTGGGAGTGGCTTGTGCAGTGCTTAAGAAGCAAGTAATACCAGGGATAGGGAGTCAGGCACTGAAGGGGCACTGCTGGGTGAAAGCAGGTCATGTACAATTGTCCTGCTGGCCACAGAAAGCAGAATAACTAGCAGACAGTGCACGGCACGGGAGGTCAGGACTCCTAGGT